TTTTAATTGAGAGCTGCTCATTTTCCTTAGAAAACTTGTTTGGGGAACACTTGGAGACCTAGGAGGAAAGAATCCTCTAAGGAGGATTCATGTTTGGTTTTGCCATGAGGTGTTTTTCCAGTGGGGGCCACTTCAATCTCGATTCATAAATTTAGCGTTTTTGTGCCATGCAGGTGTTAGAACCGGGACTGAAAACCTGCAGCAGACTACATCTCAAGGATTCTGTTGTAATGTTCAACACCGAGGTGCGTCTGCTTGCATTCCTCTGGCGCTGAGGATGGGAGAGATTTCTTCTGGTTCATCCTCCCTCTGAAGGTGGGTGCTTCAGTGCCCCAGCTTGATGAGCGCATGTTCTCACATCGCACACCCGCCGTGGCAGCCTTGGGCTTTAGTTTCTCTGCCCCACAGCTTGAGGGCTGACAACTAAGGCTCAGGATCCCCTGGTTGGGCAGACGCCCTTGAGGCAAAAGAAGCTTCTTGCTCTGCTTCCTCCTGGCTCCCCTGTTCACTTAAATTTTGACTTTGACTTAATAATTCCTTATCTTTTTGTCAGTTTTTTGTCACATTTAAGAAGGATTTTTTTTTTTTGTATTTTATTCAGAATTTTTGTTTAAATCAGGAGAGAGTTTGGTTAAAATAATTCAGCCTGCCATAGTATCAGACATGGAAAAGTCTCATTTGTTCTTTGTCTTTTTAACTTACATTGGTGTCTGGTGAGGGATCAGCACACAAAATTATTTTTTCCCCTCCCACTGCTAAACAATGACCTCAACACCATACACTGATTAATCCATTCTTGATTGTGACATTTAATTTTCACATAATACATTTGTATAAAAATTTGCCTCCTTTCTGTGTTTTACTGATTCACTAATCCCATCCTCTAATCTTGGATGAGTCTCATAATTTTTTTCTGATTATTCAATCTTTACAATATACTCTTATATCTCAAAGTGCTAAGTTCCTCTTTCTTATTCTTCTTTTTCAGATTTTTTTAAAAACTATTATTAATGGCTATTCTTCTAAATGAACCTTAGAATCATTTCCCCAAGTTGTGAATATAATTCCTCTGGAACTGTTTTGAATGATATTAAACCTATAAATTTATTAGAAAGAATTGGCATTTAATAAATCTAGACCTTCCTATCCAAAATCAAGTCATGTCTATTTATCACCACTTATTCAGAACTTCATTTACATTTTAATAGACTGCTGTGGTTTTCTTTATTTCTGACACTACTTGTTAAAATCATTCCCATTATCAATTCATATATTTTGTTGCTATTGTGAGTAGGATCATGTTTTCATTATATTTTCTAAGGTTATTTCTGATGTGTTAGAATGCTCTTGCTTTTTGAAATTTCCTTGTCTCTAGGGGTATTTATGAATTCTCATATTGATCATAGTTGGTTTTAATAAACTTTTCTGTGCATTCTACATATACACAATAATGTAATCTACATTTTTTTTTCTTTTAGGACTTAACACGAGCCAGAACTTCCAAAACAATCTTCAATAATATTAATGTTTTGGTTCCCTATTTTACTGGTGATTCCAAGCATGTTTAACTAATAAATATATTGGCGCTTAGCACACTGAACGTTTTAAATCCATTGTGACATTTCATGTGGCACTTCATGCTCCAACCCTAAAAAGAAACTCAAGAAGCCTTGGTCCCACACTATACAACCCAGCAGATGTAGACAGCATGGCCCCTGAAAAACCTAGGTGATACAACCAATGGTTAAAAAGAAGATGGTTGGACGATAAAAAAGAGGTCTTTGTTTTGTTGTTTTGTCTACTTTTGGTTTCTAGGAACTGAGAAAAATAGATACAATGGAAGTAACACAGCTGAATGGGTGAAGAGGGTAGAGATTGATGAGGATGAGTGAGGATAGAAAAAGAAAGACCAGGCTCCTAAGGCAGGTGGATAAGAGGGAACTAAGCGGAAAGTTTACATTGCTATTAACTATCGTGTTTCAGTAATGAACTGAGTGCCTAGTTGGCATTGTGCATACGAGAATGTATAGGCCCACTGATGGAGTGCTGGGCCTCTCTGTTTCTAGATCGAGGTCCCTGGAAGCTCAGTCTGAGGGGACAGTCTTGTAAACATGCAGGCCCCATCACAGGCCAAATGAATTGGAATAGGAACAAGGGCTGGAAACCTGATCTAAGGAGGCTCCTTAGGGGCTACTCATACAAAGTGAACTTGAAGAAAAGAGAGAGAGAACGAAAATCAGAGACAAGAAGGGAAACCTTGTACTTGCACTGGGCACAAAAGGTTTTATGCACCAAACTGTAAAAGCTGAATCTGGTAGTCCTGTTAAAATATTATCATTAGACCAGAAGGCTTTTCAGAGCAAAGAACACACACCACATTAAATCACCTACAAGCTATGTGCTCTGCATTACACAAAGCATTTCAAAATGAATGAAAACTGACTAAGGCAACACCTAGCCCACCGCATCTACTCATCCTAATGAAATGCTAGCAGCATCCGCCAAGCAAATTGCTTGTCGGATTTCATCGTTATTCGTACATTATTTTTCAATGCAATCAATCAGAAAGCATCTTCATCATTCATGAAATCAAGGAACATCTGGGGAGAACAGTTTTTCTCAGACATCCACGGGAAAACTTTTGGGTTGACATCAGGCCATTCCCTGGCTTTTAGAGAAACTGACCCGGGAATGTCAGTTTAATCTTGCAAGTCTCCTGGCATCAACACTGGAGATCAGGTTGTTGATGCTATGCTTCAATGTCAAATGTTTTCCTCCCTTTTTAGCTGCCATCCCATCAGCCCCACAGGTTCACTTCCTGCCCTGCTTTGCAAACATACCTCTGCTTTTAAAATTCATGAACCACGCCCTTATTCATAGTGACCTCGCTTTGGTTTCTTTTTGGTGTAAAAAAGCCTCCAAGCTTCAGTTTCCCCTGCAGCCACATTCAAAGGCACGGGGGGGGTTGCTGAGTATGAATTTTTTACAATATTATCATGTTGACTGAGTCCTGCACATTGTCTTGAAATTGCGGACTGCAGTTTAACTCGTCTAAATTCAATGCAATGTACTAAGCTTCGGGTGCAGGCACTGTGGAGACCAAGCCAAACGAGACTGCAGCTCCTGGCTGGAGGAGCTTGCAATCAATGGGTCATTAACTGCTGTTCAGTTGATCTGTCATTCCTAAAAAACACAGGACAAGCATGCCTTCCAGACAGCAGTCCGCTTCAAGCTCAACACACAAATGATTGGGAGATTACATAATCGAGGAACAATTACTTTTTAAAGTAGTAATGTTTGGAAGTTGATACCAAAGAGGCTACACCTGCTCAAAGGATGTTCGACACCACCCCAAGCCATTTTCCTGGTGGACAAAGAAAGAGCATCCTTCTTCTAAGTCTTTGTGCTCTGTTCTTCCTTCTTTTACTGTTTCCTTTTCCCTTCATGTGCTCCAACCAATATAGTTGCTCCCTTCTCCAAAACCCAAGGTCTCCTAACAAAGGCTGTGCCAATGTCAGCCTTCAACATGGGCAGAGTACTCTGAGCTTAGCATGAGGCTGAGGCCAGAAGAGGTGGAGAGGACTGCCTGGAGCACATCAGGAACCAGCTTGGCAGAAGCTTTATTTGAGAAGTTTTTGGTTTTTTTTTTTTAAAGATTTATTTATTTATTTGACAGAGAGAGACACAGCGAGAGAGGGAACACAAGCAGGGGGAGTGGAAGAGGGAGAAGCAGG